TTCATCATATATTAACATTGCTCTCCTAAACATGATACCAATTTTAAAAATCTATTTTTCCGATATATAATACATACAAAAAAGCTCCGGCTAGCAAATTTAGTGTTCCAGCTGGCAAATTTAGTGTTCCGGCTAGCAAATTTAGTGTTCCATACTCGGTGTTGAGTATTTATTTAGTTATTGCACAAAGATTGTTTTTTTGATGATGCACTCTTTTGTGCACCAGCTAAATAAAGTTCTGCACTTGAACCATATAAATTCAAGCGCAGAATGTGCACTGCACAAACAGCCGTAACAGTCCGTTAAAAGGCTGTAACCGTTAACAGGCTGTAACAGAGTGTACACATCGACTAAGTAAGATTTAGGCGTATTTAATTTTACAATCAACATGTAGATACATCAACTGACTGGTCAGATACTCTTTTAATTAAAAGAACAAAAAAAAAAAATGTTGCGTCACTAAATCGAAATCCCCCTCCTTCTCGTAACAAATCACAAAATCGCCTTAACTTCCCCCCCCCCCCCTCCTAAGCGTGACGACCCCTAAATAATGATTAAATTTATTAAGTTTAAATAGTAGTTATATTCAGGGCCGGGCGCGAGTAGGTGTCACGTGGGGGGTGCCATTACAACTTTTGCCGACTAAAAAAAAAAAAAAAAAAAAAGAAGTCCTCGTTTTCCAAAATTTGCCGACTGTTGTGACGACATTTGCCGACTGTCTAACCTATATCGAAAGGGTCGACATTTACCGACTAACTAGATCCAATTTGCCGACTAAGGGTCCAGTTTGCCGACTAAAAATCATTGATGGGGGGTGGGGGTTATCACACACCCACACACACACCCCTATCGCGCCGGCTTTGGTTATATTTAATTTTTTAAATTATATTTATACTTTTAAGTTTAAATAATAATTAAACTTATTATTTAACATATTTTCTGCGTATTTTAAAATATGTAGTCTGACCATGTATGTACACTCGACTACGCAATTTCAATTTCAATCAGTTTCAAATACATTTTATATATAATAAACATGGTAGCAGGAAAAAATCCCCCCTTCCCAAAAAAAAAAAAAATCCTCCTCGAAAAAAAGTCTCACCAGTCGTTTTAATTCAAACATTGATTACTATAATGTTTAATATAGGAGTTTGTATGATATTATGTTTGTTTGAAGAATTAATATGATTTTAATTTAATAATTTAAATATTTATGTTTAAATGAATTATAAAGTATGGTTATGAAAATGCGCTTCTGATAAGAATTGTGCACTCATCACCCTAGTCCACTGACTGACTTAAATAGGGAAAAGCGTACGTTTATTAGATGATTTAAATAGAGACAGGTTCAGTGGAGTACTAACAAACGACTGAAACAAATAGAGACAGATAATGTATCTATATATTGACTGACTTAGAAGCAGGCGCTAAGGAGTTACCACTCATCGACTAAAATATAGTCAGGCGCAACGAAGTGTCAACACATCGACTGACTAAAATTAGGACGGTCGCCATATTTCAACTTACTAAATACAGGAAGGCGCAATGGAGTGTTTATGTATAAGTTAAGGTTTGTGGCTTGGGCTGGCGATCTAACTTATTAGTTTAAAAGTCGAGTATAAAAATTAATTTAACTATTAGGGGAAGGTTGCGTGAGTTGAGCATGTTTTCAGTGTAATTCATTTTGCTTCCATAAGACAACAAAAAGATATATATTTTCTTAAGAATAATGATAATTTAATCTTTCCTCTCAAAGAATATAAATGAATAGTTTATTTAGAAAAAAAACTTCATACCGAAAATTGAGTTATCTTCAACATACCCAATCATTTCATCTTAGGAAACCAGTTTCTTAAGATGAGCATTTTTTAATGGAGCTCAAAAAAACACAAAATAACAAAAAATAACCGCAAAAAAAAAAATAATAATAATAATGTATCTTCAAGGACTATACTTATCCATAAAAAAAATATCTCAGCCATAAAAAAAACAAAAATAAATCTTTCCTATCTCTAAAAAAGTTAACGCTACTACTTTTTAAAAAAACTTTCGCTCTTGAAACACCAAAATAAAGCTCTGCAGAGATTAACTTAAAAAATAACGCGCTTTTCATATTAAAAAGCCGCATCTCATCTTGAGCGTCTAAAATTGTATTATCTTAAGCAACTTTACCAAGTACTCTCTTAATTTAAATAGCATTACAACTGCTTACGTATTATCTCATGTAACCCATGGAATTAGCAGTAGATAAGCATAAAATATTGTTTTGTTTCTAACGTAATTACAAAATATTGAATAATAAAAAATTATAACGGGGATGGCAAATTTTTTTAACAGTAAAATTATCAAAGAATATTAACTACAAAATCAAGAAATTAAAATACATTACACCGTCGAACTTGTATGAATATCCTTAACCAAAAAAGTTCGCGAAAAAATCATTAGTCTTCCCGTAAAAGAGGTTATACCATCTTAGGAACCCGCTCATCTTACGCAACCTTTCCTTAGGGAAAGGTTGCGTAAGATGATTGCGTGTTAAATGTTCACAGTAAAAGTGGTATTATATCATGTGGGGAAACAATTTGCGAAGAATTACGTTACAAACAAAGAAATTGGAGAGTATATATTGATATTAAATTTAAATTAGAGAAAGAAAAAAAAAAGTACAAATCTGATGTACATAGATATGTGTTCCGTTAAGGTTAGCTGTGAGAAAAAGTACTTTTTGCCAGGATTTTTTTTTGTAGGATGATTTTTTTTATCCAGAGGAATTTGACAACACTGCTGGGGTTGTCATCATTCGAATTAAATTCTTCAAGCATAAGATCCTTATAAATAAATTCTTCAAGCTTTTTATAAGTATGATGACAATGAAGATAAGAAGAAAATTATGAACTAGTTACTAAAAAAATAGAATATGAAGATGTATGTGAAAATAAGGATTAAGACAATGAGTCGTATAGTTTACACACCCATTTGTTTTGTTAAAAGATAATTGTTAAATTTAAATGTAAATAAAAGCAATGAGAAACTTCTAGGTTAATAATGAAAAAATTTAATGTTGGTTAATTGTTTTAATAATTATATGATGCACAATGTAAAATAAAACAGCACCATATTGCAATGAAAGTGACTAAATATTGTAAAGCATTCAACACAATTACACACAAAAACACTGCATTTGCTTTAAAACAGTATATTGTATCCCTGGGTTTTGTTCCCGATTTCTGCACTTTTCGGGAGAGCTCCTCCAGTAATGTATCGAGGCATATTTCGAAAAATCCGGTAAATTGTGCTTTAGTTTACGTATGTTTTTATATACGACTCTGCTTTAACTATTACAAAAGTTTAACTTTTAAAAACTTTTTATAGTTGTTTCAACTAATTAAAAAAACAAAACAAATAAAACTTTGTAACTTGTATTTAAATACTACGCCGAACGCGACTTTCTAAGCAAAATATAATTTTTAGTACCGTCAACCAGGGCTATTTCCTCCATCGGGGGTTACTTTGCACTACTTTTAAAAAGTTTTTGTAGTTACCCAACTCTAATAGCAAAATTGATTTTTTTAAACTATTTGGTTTTTTCTTGTTAGTTGGGCCATTATCTTTAACTTTCAGAATAAATTTTGAATTATGCGGCCATTTTATGTGTTATTTTTGAATTTTTTATTTGTAGAAGCCATTTTTATACCAAAAATTGAGTGGCGTGTTTCTACACGAGAACTATATCAATTTTTAATAAATTTTTTTATGAAAAGAAACCTGTAGTTTAAATCATGCAAAAAAAAATTTAATTTATCATTTAGGAAAGTGGTATTCAAAAATAGTTTTAGTGTGAAGTTTGGACCAAAAACTACTTTGCACCAGGCAAGAGAATAGTGAAAAGTAACCTCAGACTACTATTTTTTTACACTTAATAGTTTAAAACGTTGCTAACAGATGCAAATTATTTTTAAGGATGGTAAGGCATTACAAATGAAAGTTAGTAGCTCGTTCTGACAAATAAAACATTGCTATTTGCAGTGTTTTATTTGTCAGAACTTCTAACTCCTTTTGCTTAGATTTAATAAAAAAATGAACACTCAGTCAACATAAAACTTCAAATCAGTTTAACATACTAAGAAAAACATTAATTAATAAGCTAAATGACCTTTAAAAAAAAACGAACTTTTTTACACATGGGATAGGGTTGTTGGAGGAATAAGCCCCCCTAAGGTTTTGAGCAAGAGGGATAATTTCAGTGACAGAGTTGTTTGATGATAGGAAATATGAGTAAACGTTAACATATAACAAGGCGGAAGTTTATTTGATTTTTTTGTTTTGTTTTTAATGTCTGTTTATTTAAAAGAAAGTAATTTACTTTTTTAAAGTAGTGTTTTGTGAAATTCCCGAACTAAACCTTATACTTAAATTAACTTTCAGGGTAAGATTTATGTTTTTAATTTTAAAACCATTTTTTAAGCTACATAAAGTATTGTACTTATTTAAAATAGTGTTTTGTGAAATTCTTTATACTAAAACTACCTTTTTGGCCGCGATTTTTTTTTGTTTTTAACATTAAAAACATATTTTTATTATACGGTGCAAAGTAACCCTTTCATTGGGGCTACTTTGCACCAAATTTAAAACCTCAATCAAAACATCTTAAAATTAAATTAATTTTTTTTTTTTTTTTTTAATTTTAATTTAAAAAATTACAACTAAAAATTTTTTTTTTTTCATAGACTAGTTATAACAACATATTAGAACTTGCAAAAATCAATTTATTTCATAAGGCAAATTTTTTATTATGCCTAAATTTAACTGCAGTAAAATAACTATCAAAAACGGAGTAAAGTAGTCCCGGTTGACGGTACCTTAATATTAAGTAGTATTGTTAATTTTATTTAATATAAGGTAGTATTGATAATTTTTAATATTTAATATCAGGTAGTAGTTATAATAGTAATTCAAACAAACATTTTCAAAAATATAAATAGTTATTTAAACAATTTTTTTGTTATAAATATATTTTAATACATCAACTAGTGTATATATTATATATATATATATATATATATAAATAAAATAAAAACCATAAATACAGTAACCCTATATAGTTAGAGAGTTAATATTTGACATATGCGTTCGAAAGCTCCCGTAGTTGTTGCTCATATAGTATGTTTTGCTCCAAAGCTTGTTTATAATTGTATTTCATATCTTCTAATTCTTCAAAGAAAGCAGGATCAAAAGCACTCAGCTCTTTTTTTAACTATGAAGAGAAAATAGAAACGCATTCTTAGTTAAATAATTAAAATATATAAACCTATATAAAAAAAACTCATACAAATAAAAACATTACCTTTAGATTTTCGGTTTTATACTTCTCTTTTTCTATTTCAACACTTTTAAGTTTTGTGCTGGAAAGAAATTAACAAATAACTAAACCCAAAGATTCATAAAAAAAAAATCTTATAACTTCAAAACTTTAAAAATCTTATAACTTCAAAACTTTAAAAATCTTATAACTTCAAAACTTTAAAAATCTTATAACTATAGGATATAATTCTTCATTAATACTATTAGGGTGAAAACTTTTTTTGAAACTATTTTTTTTTTTTTTTTTAAATTTGTTATTTAGGTGCCCCAAGAAATCCTAACTAAATTGTATATTTTAATTATCATTTCTTGAGTCAAGTCATGAATAAGTTGTAGAGCTTATCATTTCTTGAGTGAAGTCATGAATAGTAAAATAAACATCTTCAAAAAGTTTTTTATTTTAGAAATACTTTGAACTATAAAATTAAAATACTTTAAACCATTAAAACACAGTAAGACAGGTAAAGAAATAAATATACTTTGATTCTAGCTAAGTGTTTGAACAAATGTTTCAGATAATACTTAAACTTAAAAAAAAAGATAAAACTTTGTAATAGTAATAAATTCTCCCATTGGTAATTTTTAGAATTGATTTTCCTAATTTAAATTCAATTGTTTTGAAACTTTATTGCCATACTTCAGCCACTGGCAACTACTGGTTGATATGTTCAAAGCGATGATAAACCATTTACAAATCATGGTTTCAACTTTAAAACAATATATGATCTCAAAAATTTTTTGTCAACATTTTATATTTCTTGTCGACATTTTACATGTACTTTTGAGTTTAAAATGTCGACAAACATTTTATGTTTGTCGACATTTTATACTCAAAAGTACTTACTGGAATATCTCTATTTTTTATATATATAAAGCAACACAGTTATTTTATAAAAAAGCAGTGAAAATAATAAAATAAAATAATAATAATAAAAAATGTAAAATACTCTTATTTAAAAAAAAATCTTTAATTACGAACTTTTCTACCTTATAGACACTTACAAATACGTAATAAAGAATAAACATTGATTTGTTTTTTATTTATTATTACTAAATTACGTAATACTTATTAAAACGATATTTTATTTTTATGCGCAGGGTTTAAATATATATTCCTTTTATAAAACTTATTTTATAAAAAGTTTTTAATGTATAGATTACAGTTTAAAACACAGTAAACCTACAGTTTTAGAATGCTGTGACCTGGGCAAAATGAAAACACTGTATCTTGACCATTTAAAGTATTACAAGAACATTTTTTCCTTTTATAAAATTAAAGGCCTTATCTACAAACTATAGCTCCATACTAACATTACTACAATAAAATATAATATTAAATAGAATAACAGCTATGCTTTAAAATAAAAGCTATGCTTTAAAGATCTTTTAATTCCCTGTAAAAAAAATTAAAAAATTTACTTTTAACAAAAAAAAAAAAAAAAATGATAGAAACTATTAGTTAGTTAATAGTCGAATTATTTAGTTTAAATATTAACTAGGTAATGCTCCTTAGATGCAGTGAAGATAACTTAACTAAAAAAAGGAAAACTCTGATATAGAACCTCAATTTTAACTATAGATAAGGGTAAAAGGAGCTCGTGAATATTGAAAGGTTATCTTTGTTATGTTTTAAGTTTAAATATATATTAATAAATATAGTTAAAAAAAAAATGAAGAGTTAAACACATTTAAAGAAAAGAGATTTATGCATCAATGAAAGGTATTAATGCTTTAACTCATTACTCAAAAGTATACAGCAATAAAAACCTTGAAAAAGAAGTGAAAGAAAGGAACATGGTGACAGTGCATTTGATATGTAGAAGTGATTTTACTAAAAGAAAAGTGTTTTTATGTCAAACAGAAAGCTGTAAAATTAAAAGATTGCGTTCTGTTATTTTCTTATTTAATCTTGCTGAAAATTAATTTTTGCTGAAAAACAGTTATTCTGTTCTTTTGTGTTCTTTCAACTGTTTTAATATGTTCATTATGTGGTTTCCTAATAAAGACATTCTACTTTCTTCAATAAAGCAAAACATTTGCCAAGAAAAGAGAAATAGGCAGTTAACTTAAAATCTGGTTTGTATTGCTGTTTTAATCTGGTTGCAGTTGATTCTATTTGTCACTTTGAATGTTACAAGCATAATTTGAATGTAACATAGCACAAGAATGAATTATGACTGTACTTTATGTTGTGTGTACTTTATGTTATGTGTACTTTATGTTGTGTATATTTTTATGGATCATATGATATCTTAAAAAAATCCTAATCTATTTTCAGGTCTAATATGAGTGAAATAGAAAAACTTAGTCGCCAAAGAAATTTATCAATTGCAAAGAACTTTGAAAGGCTTTGAGGGTAGTTTCAGAGTTAAATGGTTACCAAGACAACTTTCGAATTGCACAATTTAATGGAATAGCTAGCAAGTTCTGAAGAAGTATATTCAATAAAGCACTTAAAGAGAAAATTAGCAGATAAGTACAAATATGTAATAACTATTAGCCAAACTGCCATATTTAATAAAAAAACAAAAAAACAAGAATAAAGATATAAACAGACAGAGAACAAAGATACAAACAAGAGAGAAGTTATTAAAAATGTCTGATAAATTGAACAATAACAAAAGCTATTTGATTGCAATGTTATATCCTATTTTTGCTTTTTGGATTAGGAATATAACTAGACTATAAGATTGGACCAAAATGGTTGACAAATATATTAGTTTAACAAATATATTAGTTAAACTAGAACTTTGTATAAGTCAGAAATAACATTTTTCAAATACTCAGTAGTTAGACAGTAATTAGATAGTCAAATCGCTCTTGAGAATTTTAGAAAATAGAGATAACAGATGTCGCTTTTACAGCAGGCTGGAAAACAAGACTCTGATAAACACTTTTTAAATAGTTTTGAAAGTATAGACAACAGCTTGGAAAGAGTCCCAGTCAGCTTTACAGTAGTTGTTTGATGGAGGTTTGATGGTAAGGGGATTCTGATGAAGAAGAATGAGATATTAGTTTTACAGAGATCAAACCATGATCAGAAGCACCTAAGGGGGAATGTGGAGAAACTGATCACCAACTAGGATCAGAAACAAGACATAAGTCGAGTAGAGAAGGTAAATGATTTGGATTGCCTGGAAAGCGAGTTGAAAAATTGAGTATTTGTGTTAGAGATTGAGAAAGACAAAAATTGTAAGCCTTAAGGCCTGCAGAGTCACTGACACTAGAGCCAAGCCATTCAGTGTGATGAGCATTAAAGTCACCACCAACAACAATATTGGCTAAAGGATAAAGAGAAAGAGCACGGTCAAAATAAAAACGAAAAGAGTGAAGGAGAACGATTAGAGCCTCAAGATGAAGGAGGGAAATATAAAACAAAAAGAAAAGCAATAGAGTGAAGTAGCACTAAACGAAAGCACATAAAAAAATAGTCTGTGGATTCAAACCTAGTTTCCTGACAAATGGGCGAATACAAATGTAGATGCTCAGGCCAAGCATTTGACTATTCTTTACGAGTCTTTACGAATTAAAGGAAGATAACTATCACCACTAAGATTACAAGATGAGACAGCTAAACTCAAATTAGTCTCACAAAGAACAAGTAAGTCTGGCAAACATTGCAAGAGATAAGACTCAACAAAAGAATGATAGATTCAGAGAACTTGGTGATGACCATGGTTTTTTGTGTTTTATAGTTTTTGGTAATTTAGTCATTTTTAAATTTATTAAAGAACTTGACTCAAAGCACAGAAAGTACTCAGTACACTATTTAATAGCCGATGTAATTTCCTCATTACTATTAATAAACCATAAGTTGTATCAAAGGGCTCCATTAGTGGCCTCGACAATGCAGACCAAAAGTACGAATAGGGACACCATCCATGTACAACATGGTACTGTTAGTACTCTGGTATTTTACAGCTGTTGATGGAATCAGCTTCTCTGAGCTACCACAGAGTTTGGGAAATCTGACTACCAGCTAACCTCAGAACCATAAAACATTTAGAGCTGTACCCTTATTAGGAGATAATAAAAGGAGTTGCCTAGCCATAAAAACAGAGACACAAGCAAAACCCATGGATTGAGTCAGGAAGATCTAGCATTCAACATCCTAAACTGGAAACAATGCATTATAAATACATCTATGCCAACCTAATAAACGGATAAGGGGTGCAAGGCTGGTCAACAGATAAAATCTGTTTAGCCCTTATGTTGACATATTTGAGCTGGTTTTTGTAATGATGCTCTTTCTCTTCTAGACAAGGCCCAAATATACATTGTAAACATAGTTGTACAATATTATCAATCAAACTTGAACCCCTGTTCCATCGCTAAAAGGTTGTATCACATTCTTTTTTCTACAACAAATTATTAGTTTTCAAATTTTAATTTTAAACTTTATATTTAATTTTATTACAGCCTTTGACTACAATTTTTTACTTTCATTTTTAACATTTGAAATTATAAATATGTTAATGTCTTCAATTTAATCGTTTTCCTCCTTATTGTTTTTATTTACCTTATTTTTTTTATTTACCTTATATTTTTCTTTCTACTTTAATTCTAAAGTTTTCCCATTTAAATTATTAAACTTTACTGCAAGCTCATTTTTAAATTTTTTCATAAAATTTTGAATTTTTTTAAAAAAAATTTTTGAATTTCTTTTTTTAAAAAAAACTATAAGTAAGATTCATTTAAGTAAAAATGAAAGCAAGAAATAAAATAAATATACGCATAAAGCAAATATAAAAATTTATGGATTTTTATATTATTTAGAGTAGAAGAGGTGTACATTTTTAGATATTTTTAAAAAAAATTTTTTATTGAAAAGTTTATTATATAGTTTTTATATTATATAAAAAATATTACTAGCTGATTATTTAAAAATATAAGTAAAATATAGGTCTTTTACAATTTACAACTGATTATTTAAAAATATAAAAATATAGGTTATTTACATTTATTTTAAAAACAAAACTGAAATAAAATTTTATACCGAAGTTCAACTTCAATTGCCATCATTCGATCATATCGTTGAAGCTTTGCAAGAACTTCATCTTGAGTCTAAATATAATTAATAACGTATGTGATGAATATATATATATATATATATATATATATATATTTTTTTTTTTTTTTTTTTTTTTTTAACATCTTCACTTCCAACAAGGCTGCAAGCAACCACTATAAGAGTTGGAAGTTACTGGAAGAGAAAAGACTAAATCTGTAGAGCAAGATAGCGATTGACTGATGACTTAAATGATTGCAAATTATATGAATCAGGGAAGCAAGATGACGGAAGCGAATTCCAAAGAACTGATGTTCAAGGAAAAAAACTAGAAGAATAAGAGTTTTTGAAGCACTTAGGAACAGTCACAGAAAAAGGATGAGACTTAATTGAATGACGAGTAACACAAGAATGAATTTTAGTAGATGGCACAAGAGATGCTAGCTCTTTAGAGCAGTGCCCATTATAGTATTTGTAGAAAAGAGAAAGAGAAGCAACATCACGACGATGTGACAAAGGTTGGAGATTGGCTGCCAGAGCAGGTCCAACTATGTTTACAATGCGTTTTTGCACCTTATCTAAAAGAGAAAGGGCATCATTAGAAGATCCGCCCCAGATGTGGCAACAGTATTCCATACAGGGACGGATTTGAGATTTATAGAGATAGAGAATAGAATCTGGAGTAAGAAAGTGTCGAGCTCGATAAAGAGATGCAACCTTAGCAGATGCTAATTTTGCAATGGATTTGATATACGGTTTAAAAGAAAGATCAGAAGTAAGAGTTAATCCTAGAAGATGAATGGTAGATGACTCATCTAGTACATTACCATTCATAAATATAGGAAGATCTAAATTATTACGATAACGATTGGCCGAATAAAATTGAGTTTTATCTGAATTAAAGTTCACCAGCCACTGTGAGCCCCATGCTGTAGCAGAAGTGAGATCCTTTTCAAGCTCAGATACCCCCTCCAGGCAATCAGAGAGTGTAGGCTTCTTATCATGACAAGAGTAAATGGTAGTGTCATCAGCGAATAATGCCACCTTAGATGTGAGAATATCTGGGAGATCGTTAATGTAAATTAAAAAGAGTATAGGGCCAAGGATTGAACCTTGAGGAACCCCTGAAGTTACAGGATATAAAGAAGAGTGTTGTCCATCGAGGACAACTTTTATACTACGATTGGAAAGAAAGGATTCAATAATCTTAAAGATGTTACCAGATACACCATAAGAAGAAAGCTTATGGAGAAGACCAGCATGCCAAACTTTATCAAATGCTTTAGAAATGTCAAGTGCGATAGCCTTAACCTCTCCACCTCTATCTAATGCACGGTAAAACCTATCGGTTATTACTGTTAGCAAATCAGCTGTAAAACGAGAAGATCGAAATCCATATTGATGATCAGAAAGTAAGTTATTTGATTCAAGATGAGAGATTAAGTGTTTGTTGATTAAAGATTCAAAAACCTTGCTTATGACAGGAAGAAGACTAATGGGACGGTAGTTAGATGAATCAGATCGCTCTCCGGAATTTTTGAAAATAGGGATAACAGATGTTGCTTTCCAGCATGATGGAAAACAGGACTCTGATAAGCACTTGTTAAATAGTTTTGAAAGTATGGATGAAAGCTCCGGAGAACACTTCTGCAAGACTACAACAGGAATGTTGTCAGGACCACAAGCTGTTGAAGAGTCTAAGCAGGAAATTACTTTTGATACAGAAGCTGAAGTGATGCGAATGTCAAGCAAGGGATCAACCTGTTTGACGGCTATGTCAGGTAGAACGCAACTAGTGGAATCGAGAGATGATATTGATGAAAAGTTCTTAGCAAACAATTCAGCTTTGTCTTTAGGTGAGGTGACAAAGTCTGAACCATACAAGAGAGAAGGAATAACAGATTTGCCCTTATTATTGATACTGTTGAAGATTCTCCAGAAGTCTCGAGAGCCTAATTTTTGTGATGAGATACGAGATTTTATGGCCTGAGAATAGCGAGCTTTGGCGTCAGACAAAACCTTTTTACAATGGTTTCTGGCGATAGTGAATAGATGTCTGTTTTCTGGAGAATTGTTTTGCTGATAGATATGGAAGTAACGGTTTCGATTAGAAATTGCTGCAGCGCAATGTGAGGAAAACCAAGGAGAAGAGTGAGGCTTGACCTGGAATCGTCGAGAGCGAATAAATGATTCCATTCCAGCCTGAATCCACGAAGTTATGTAAGAAGCACATTTGTCAGCAGGAAGACGAAAGATTTCTACCCAAGGGCCATCACGAAGAAAATCACGGAAAGAGTCCCAGTCAGCTTTAAGGTAGTTGTATGTGGTACGATGATAGGGGGATTCTGATGAAGTAGAAGAATTTGATAATAGTTTTAGAGAGATCAAACTGTGATCAGAAGTACCTAAGGGTGAATGTGGAGAAATTGAGTACTGGCTAGGATCCAAAACAAGACATAAGTCGAGTAGAGAAGGTAAATGATTAGGGTTGTCTGGAAAGCGAGTTGGAAAGTTGACTATTTGAGTTAGAGATTGAGAAAGGCAAAAGTTGAGAGCCTTAACGCCAGCAGAGTCACTGACACTAGAGCCAAGCCAATCAGTGTGATGGGCATTAAAGTCACCAACAACGACGATATTGGGCAATGGATAAAGAGGGAGGGCTTGGTCAATTTGATCAGAAATAACATCGAGAATAGTGCAATCTTGGGATGAAGGAGAGCGATATAGAACAAAGAGAAAGACGATAGAGTGAAGTGGTGCTAAACGAAAGCACATAAAAGAATAGTCAGTAGATTCAAACCTAGTTTCACAACAAATGGGTGAGTTCTTACGAATGTAGATGCCCAGGCCAAGCACGTGATTATTGGAGTCTTTACGAATTAAAGGAAGATAACCATCAACACTAAGATCACAATATATATATATATATATATATATATATATATATATATATATATATATATATATATATATATATATATATATATATATATATAAATATATATATATATATATATATATATATATATATTTTTAATATTTGTTTTACATTTTTTTCCTCACAGATTAAGGTCGGCAAACTATTTTTCCGACCTTATTTTTCTTAATTCTAAGGGCTAAATTCTAAAATATATATATATATATATATATATATATATATATATATATATATATATATATATATATATATATATATATATATATATATATATATGAAAAGATAATTTTCAAAATGCAGCGAGCGCGATTTTCAAAAAAAGGTAGAAATTGAGTGGTTTATTTTTAGTTTATAGGGACCTAACAGACATTGTGTCCGAATATATACTAAGCAAAGTATAACTCTATATTTTTCTACTTCTGAAGGAAATCTATTAATATTATCATCTAATAAACAAAAATATAAAAAACTTATACCACATCAACATAATTTTGACCAGCATTTGTCAGCTCTTTTAACCTTTCTACTTCTAATCTAAGCTGTTTGTTTTCTTTTTCCAGACGATCTATAACCAACCTGAGCACAAAATAAAAATTTTTTAAATTTATTTTCAAAATTTTAACTGTGTGAAATATTTAACTTGTTGTAGCTAAGTACCAAAATTAGTGCACCTATCAACATCTCCATCATCACCACAGATGCAAAGCCCTATCAATTTTTAAGGACTCAAAAAATAAGGACTCCTGACTTGGAATACTTTTTTAATAACTTATCTGAGTCAATTAACCTAAGTTTTTAGGGATGAAGTAATCCCTGAAATGCTAGAGTAGACTATATAAAATTTTAATTATGCTGTTAAAAACTATAATTAGTAAAAACAGAGACTCCTGCGAATCTAGGGTCTCTGGACTTTGACTTTGCATCCCTGATCATCATCATCATCATCATCATCATCATCATCATCATCATCATCATCATCATCATCATCATCATCATTATCTTCAACAACATCATCATCATCAATAGGAGCTCAAGTAAATGCTTCAAAATACTCAATAGTTATAATAAAAAAAATAATAAAAACAGCAGCCAAATAAAGTAAAGAAAGCAAAATACCTATTTTGTTGCAGTTGTCGTCTAGGATCATCCACCGAAGTATCTTGCAGTAGTGAAATCTACAAACATTTTAAGTTATCTATATGTTATGTCCTTATAAAAAAAATTCTTATGGCCTCTTAAAATACATACTTATGCCCTTAAAAACTCATTAAAAAAATTCAACATTGATCAATAACCTTTTCTTCTAATTCTTCAATTTTATGAAGCAACTCAGTTTCTCTCTCAGCACTTTTCTTTATGTGAGATTTTATTTCTAACAAAATGTTATTCTAAATACAAAAAATTATTAAATTAATCTATTTAAAATAACATTTAAATAAAAAGTTCAAAATTTAAACAAATAAAACTCATACATAATATTTAATTTTTATTAAATAACATGAATATTTAATTTTTATTATAACTATAAATGTTATTCTAATTGTTATTATTACAATTGTTGTTACTATTATTATTATTACTATTATTATCTTATTACCTTTTTGATAATTTCATTTTCAAGTGATTTAATTTTGCCATCATACAATCTTTGGGTGATTGTTCCTTTTACTGGTGATTTTGCACCGCTGCTACTTTCTAACTTCATTTCCATTTCACTCAAAGCTTGATCTTTCTAAACACCAATATTTATTATTTTATAAATATTTTTTATAAGCTGAATAAATAATTTTTATTGCTAACCTCAATAATGTCATCTTTTAATTTTTTGTTTAAGACCATTAAACTTTGGTTACTGATTCTTAACTTTTCAATTTCTTCTCTTTCCTAGAAAAATTGTAATTTTTAAAGAGCAAGTTAGGGTATAACTATTTAATAACAACAGCACAGATTATTTGAAAATTATCTAAAAATTTAAGTTCAAATTTAAATTATTTCTGGATATAATACTCTGGTTATGCATAACACAGACCTTTTGTAAATCTTTTAAGTGTTTTTCGTTTTCTTGAATCATTTTAACAGTAGATGCAGCAGAAAAAGAGTTCGGTCGTTTATTTTCAGTGGCTTGAAGTTGTTTAAGGCGTTGAATATCTTGCTGTAAAATTTTTTAATTACAATTTATTTCTTATATCAATTACCAATATGAATAAAGTAAATTGTTATGCTTATAATATTTCTATATTTCATAGATTATATATAATATAAATATTTTATATATTTTATATTTTTTATATTACATATTTTATAAAAAATCTTTAATAAATCTATAATAAATATCTGACCTTCAGAGTGCGGTTTTCTTTAAGTAACTCAGCATGTGGTTTTGACTTTCCAATTTGTTTTTTAAAATTATCATTTTCTGTTTGGAGTCGTTCAACCACTCTTTGCATTGCTGCAATAACTCGCTGCATTTCTTCAACAGAATGTTCACTAGTTGCCTCATTAACTGTCTAATAATAAAATAAATTCATATAATAAACTTAATATACATAAAAGTGAAAGAGAGGATTTACATTTACACTTTATTTACTCATTAATTAATTTTTCTTCTTTTATATCAATATTGAAATCATAAAAAACAAAACGCTTACTGTAAAAAGTCAATTTAAGTTGTTATGAGTAGATAAATTATAAAATCAACTTGGTTTAGACATTAAATATTAAATCAACAATTTATGAATTGATTAATAAAATTTATATAGTTTGATAAAATCAACTAAAAAATTGCTAAGGTAACTTGGTGTAACCATTTTTACTTAAAACAAACCAGTGATGCCCATGCTACAGCCTACAAGGAGGAATTGTAAATTTTTAAAATGTCAGCTAATTAATTTTAAAAATTTACTTAAATTTCTTATAGTTTCTCCTTTAATAAATTTCTAAAGCAGGTCTTTAACTTAATAAGTCCAGGTCTTTAACTTAATAAGTCCAGGTACCCCTAAATTGTACCAATTTTATACAAATAAATATTATAAGTAAACATTAGAGGCTAAACCAAAAAATTTAATGTTTTTGTTTCAAAATCTTTTTGAAATAAAGTAAAACTACAAAACAACAAATAACTAAATTAAATTATAAAAACATTTTTGAAATATAGCTACTGAAAAAAGTTTTTTTTTTTGAAAAAAATTACTGCTTGTGTGCTCTGCAATGTATGTGTGTGCTCTGCAATGTATATGTGTGCTCAGCAATGTATGTGTGTGCTCTGCAATGTATGTGTGTGCTCTGCAATTTATGTGTGTGCTATGCAAGTCTGTTCTTTTAAACTACTTCCTAAATTATGTCTTTTTAACCAGATTTTGAAAAAACAATACAATCTATGTCTTTTTAACCGGACTTTGACAAAACAATACAAATATATTTAGTTTAAAAGAAGCTTATAAAAAGCTTATAAAAGTAAAAAAGAAAAAGAAAAAAAGAATTCAAAAAAAATAAAAATAAAACAATATTTTTGCAAATCACAATCAAAAAATATTTAGATAACACTACTTTATTTCACAATCAAATATTTTTTCAAATCTTTTTAAAAATATTGGTAAAACATGATCGACTGTAATATCATCATTTAACTCTTTACTTAAGGATGTCACTCCTTTACCAACCAAACCGCAAGGTACAATATTTTTAAACCAATTTAAATTTGTATTACAATTAATAGCTAAACCATGAGTTGAAATATGTTGACGACAATGGACTCCGATTGCAGCTATTTTATTTTCTTTTACCCATACTCCTACATCATTAGTTCGTTCAGTAGCAACTCCTAATTCAGTGCAAGTATCAATTATAACTTGCTCCAGCTGATTAATGTAACAACGTATGCTTAAATTGAACTTTTTTAAATCAAGAATTGGGTAACACACTAATTGCCCTGGACCATGAAATGTTATTAGTCCCCCACGATCAGCATAACAAAATTCAGCTCCTTTGTCCTTTAGGTTTTGAACTATGTCCCCATCAATATAGTTTTTTTTACGTATACCAACAGTATACACTGGTGGATGCTCACATATAAGAATGGCTCCATGCATAGTCTTATCACAACCAGTCCTAAGAGTGTTTTCAAAAGATTTCATAATTTGCATAGATGAATTGTATGTTTGAAATCTGAAGTTTTGCAGAGTAACATTTTTGAAGAAAGGTTTTGAAAAAAACATTTTTTTAAAATTGTAATATTAATTAATCTAAAGAAATAATAATAAAAAATAAAATTTATTTTTTCTAGAAACTGTATTCAATAAATTATTAATTTGCAATGTAAATATTAAATTATTAAACATTCAAGTAAACTTTTAGCAATTAAACAATTAAAAAATAAGTTTAAAAATAATCAACTAAAAAAAACAAAATTACAATTACAATCAATAACAAATAACAAATAAAATAATAAAAACAGTTTAGAGTGAAAAAAACTGGTTGGTGCATAAAGAAATTTATTTGCTTTTAATCTTATCTCTCAAAAGATTCTCCATTTTATTGATTATGAAAAATAGTTTGTTTATTAATGTAAATAATCTTCATTAATTTGTATCAAACATTACAATCTTTTAATCCAACCTTTACAACTTTTCAGTGCAACTTCCTCTCTAATTCGTTTCACAGCTTATTTCAACTCTGCAATTAAAATTTTCATTGACTTGGTTTTGCTCTAGTTGATTTAGCGAGCAAATTCACTTCTAGATAAAGAAGTCTAGAGGGTTTAAGTTGGGAGAATTTGACAGCCAATGATAATTGCCAATAAATCTAAGAAAATGAATGTTACACCATTTCTAAGAAAGTTTTTGAGTATGAGGTTTGACACTATTTTTCGAGAAACATGTCACCTTCAAATACATGATTTTCATACTCTAGAGCTACAGAAAGTACTTCATCATTATATTATTGATGATTTACTGTGTCATTATCCAATATAACCAAAGGAGGTATTTTGAGCAAATCCTAACCAAATCATGACTTTTTTAAATGTAAACTTTTGTTTTCATTTAATGCCCCCATTATTATCAGCATTAGATTTGTTTTGACAGTTATACATAAAAATAAGATCAAACATTTTTTCATCTGAAAAAAAAATTCTCAAAAATTGTTCTCTTAGAAAAATTGTTATGAATCTAATTTGCCAAGGTTATTTTTTTTACCTTTTTGAACGTCTGTGAGGATTGGTTTGACTGTTTTCCCTAAATCATCTTTCAAAATTCTCTTCATGATGATAATAATTTCATAAAAGAATTTAAATAAACACTTCTTCATGATGATAATAATTTCATAAAAGAATTTAAATAAAATGAATAAATGATTTTGTAGAAAACTAAACAGAGAATCTTTTGGAGAAAAAATAAGGAGCGAAAAAAGTCCAGTACTTTACGCACTACCCGCATATAAATATATATATATATACATATACATATATATATATATATATATATATATATATATATATATATATATATATATATATATATATATATATACATATATATATATATATATACATACATACATACATACATACATATATATATATATATATATATATATATATATATACATGCATATATATATATATACATATATATATATATATATATATATATATATATATATATATATATATATATACATACATATATACATATATACATATATATATATACATATATATATATATATATATATATATATATATATATATATATATATATATATATATATATATATATATATATATACAGACATATATATACATACATATATACATACATGTATATATACATACATATATATATACAAACATACATGTATATATATAAACATACATATATATATACATATATAAATATATATATATATATATATATGTGTATATATATACTCTTGCATGGTAGTTAAAAAGAGTTTCCCATAAACTGTAGTTTTAAAGAGCGCGTTAATAAACCAGACCAGAAAAAGTTTAAAAACTTAAATTTTTTTTTTTTTTATAAATGATAGACTGCCTGCCCAAACCAAACCCTCAGTCGATGTAGCAGCACTCCCTTGCGAGTCAGGTTATTTGTCAGTCGTTGTAGCAGCACTCCCTTGCGAGTCAGGCTATTTGTCAGTCGATGTAGCAGCACTCCCTTGCGAGTCAGGCTATTTGTCAGTCGATGTAGCAGCACTCCCTTGCGAGTCAGGCTATTTGTCAGTTGATGTAGCAGCACTCCTTTGCGAGTCAGGCTATAAGATAGTCGATGTAGCAACATTTACGCATGTTTTAAAAAAAAAAAAAGAGTCTCAAATTTTAATTTGGGCGGTGCCCAAATACGGTTGATGCTGTCGAAAACAGTCTAGAATAGCCTCTGATATATGCATGTATGTATATATGTAAATATATATACATATATATATATATATATGTATATGTAAATATATATATATATATATATATATATATATATATATATATATATATATATATATATATATATATATATATATATATATATATATGTATATATATATATATATATATATATATATACGTATATGTAAATATATATACATACATATATATATATATATATATATATATATATATATATATATATATATATATATATATATATATATATATATATATATATATACATATATATTTATATACAGCCATCAAAATTAGGGTTGGTATTTGGCAATGCTGACCTAACTGCCAACTTAGAAGTGTTTGAGGTCAGCAAAAAATTAGCAATCTTGTTTCTATGTTTTATGGTGAAACCTTTGTGTCAAATTTTTATAGTCAACCTGATGCCGACCTCTAACAAACTAAGGTCAACAAAATATTGCCGACCTTGATTTTTCTGATTCCGAAGGATGTATATATATATATATATATATATATATATATATATATATATATATATATATATATATATATATATATATATATATATATATAAATAACTTTACATAAATTTCTTCCAGATTTAAATGGTTCTGCCCTAACAATAATATTCCATGTAAAAATAGGATTTAAAAATCCCTTTTTTTTCATTTCCCAGATATATTTATAAAGTTCTACGGTATTAGCTTTACTTTTGTATTGAAAGGAGATTTTATGTTTGTACCAGCAAGGTGTGCTTCATTAAACCAATATAATTTAAAACACTATTCTGCGGTGATGTTTTTAAACTGCAGACGTAAATTATATTTTTACTAAGACACATACCCACATACCTTGCAAAGGACATTATGAAGGTTACCGGCAGTTACACATTGGAACAATTGTGTTGGAAACATTAGGTTATGCTTTTTTATTGCGCGAATTAATAATATTGATGATGTTTGGAAGACAACTATAAATGACTTTTAAATTATTCCTATTGAAAATTTTGCGAAAATTATGGGTTTTTGGAAAATGCTATCAATTAGATTTAGAAAATCTTTTACGATGTTGGTTTTTACATTTTGCGAAAATGGAGGATCAAATCAAATGTTTCGTGATTTTGGTTTTGATGAGGCAAGATTTTTTATGGAAAGTAATCTTTTCATTATACCCACTTGCTGATAACACATTGTTATAAACCAATATTGGATTTTTGTTATAAAACAATGTTGAAAAATATCATATCATTACATTATCTTTGAAACTATTAAATAAACAAATTGAATTAATATCAAAATGTCACCACAAAAACAAATTTGTTATCTGCAACTTTAATATCATCTAAGCTAACACTGTATTGCATTTTTGTATATATATATCTTTTGTTATTGTTATGGTTGTTTGTAACGTCTGATTTGTATTCGGTACTGTCTAACGAAAAATTACTTTTATTATTGGTATATTAATGCTCCATTGTTGTTGAGATCTCTCTCTAACTACTACCAGTGATTTTACATAATAATAATTCTATAAGCAATTTTGGAATTTAGAACAACATTCCTTTAACTATTCAATGAAGAACATATTAACAACAAAGAAAATCTTAAATACTTAACTGAAAAATAGCTGTCTCTGAGTTATGTTACAAACTTAATATATATATATATATATATATATATATATATATATATATATATATATATATATATATATATATATATATATATATATATATATATATATATATATATATATATATATATATATATATATATATATATATATATATATATATATATATATATATATATATATATATATATAAGCATATAAAAACATATAAAGCTAATCCAATGCTAAAAACTCTCAAAAACACAATTATATAAAATTTACTTTATGGAGAAAGACATAAAACTTATGTGTATCCCTAATAAAGTATGGATTATCAATATGGTCACCTTGTTCAAAAATAGATATTGACATGTAAAAAAAAATTCAAAAATGTACTTTTAAAAAATGTGCAACAAAAATATTATAAAATCTTTGTAAACTTAATTATTCTTATTGCTGTTTTGACATTAAATGAGGATCACTAGAAAACAGGTATAAACAAAAAAAACTAATTCAAAAATATAAAATGAAAAAACTCAAAAATAAAGCTGAACAACATTTACAATGCCCTATAAAAATTACAAAAACTGCGCTCAGTGGTACCAACTATTCAAAAATCTGCTTCCACATAGAGTTCGGTGCTAGATTATGTTTTTATGCAGCAAAGCATAAATAATTTTAAAAATAGCTTAGACAAACACATTAAGCAAAAATTATTTTAAAGTCTAATGAAACTGCAAAGTTTTTATTGCTATCTCATTCATCAGTGTTTAACATTGTTATTTGCAAAAAATGAGATAAAAAGAACTTTTGTGTGTTTATATACATACATACATATATATACATATATATATATATATATATATATATATATATATATATATATATATATATATATATATATATATATATATATATATATATATATATATATATGTATATATATATATATATATACATACTATAAATTTATATTTAGATAAGCAGAGTGACATCACAGTGAAATAGCCTGCTGCCAGGGGTTTCAGTACATACATTGACTATTTTATATCTTGCTGCTTCAAAGTAGTACTTCTACATTACTGCAGGTTTGGGATTTAGCAGCAATCCTTTCTTTATTATTCATTCATTTTTTAAAAAAGCTGTAAGCTATAAAGATAAGCAAAATTAGTAAACAACTGCTGATCTATATATGCTATATTAGATCTATATATGTTTTATTACTGAAAGAGGTAACTGAGGGGGCTTCAGTAGATACATTAACTGACTATTAAGGTAGAACATGCAAGCAAATGCTGCTACAGTAACTAAGGGTTTGAGTTGTGGCTTTTTTAGTTAATCTTTTTTTTTTCTGAAAAGTTAAACGCACACTGTAAGAATTAAAGCACACTATATATATATAAAAACCTAAACTGTTAACTGTTAGTGTATATATTATTAGAAAATTTTTTAACAGTTAAATGCGTTTGTTTAAATAACAATGTATATATATATATATGTATATACATATATATATATATATATATATATATATATATATATATATATATATATATATATATATATATATATATATATATATATATATAGTCTTGCATGTCTCTTGCGTAGCATCAAAAAATATTTCCCATAAACTGTAGTTTTAAAGAGCGCGTTAATAAACCAGACCAGAAAAAGTTTTAAAAATTAAATTTTTTTTTTTTAATTGATAGACTGCCTGGCCAAACCAAACCCTCAGTCGATGTAGCAGCACTCTCTTGCGAGTCAGGCTATTTGTCAGTCGTTGTAGCAGCACTCCCTTGCGAGTCAGGCTATTTGTCAGTCGATGTAGCAGCATTCCCTTGCGAGTCAGGCTATTTGTCAGTCGATGTAGCAGCACTCCGTTGCGAGTCAGGCTATTTGTCAGTCGATGTAGCAGCACTCCGTTGCGAGTCAGGCTATTTGTCAGTCGATGTAGCAGCACTCCGTTGCGAGTCAGGCTATAAGATAGTCGATGTAGCAACATTTACGCATGTTTAAAAAATGTTTTTTATTAAATCAATAACAAAAACACCACTAATTAAAAAAAACTTTCTAGTCGTTATAATTGCGGTTTTTTAAAAATTTTTTAAAAAACAATTAAATTTAATGTACTTCCGCATAAATTAATTGCTTTGACATTTCGATGACAATCAAAAACAGCTTAAGAGACGAGGTAATTAAAATTGTAGTCGTAAGAGACTTTTTTTACATTAAAATGCTCTTAAAGCGACACTATATGAGTATATATATATATATATATATATATATATATATATATATATATATATATGTATATATATATATATATATATATATAATATCACAGGTATAAGCTTATGATCTACCCAATGCAATAAAAAATGATCCACTAATACTAATCATTTTAGCATGTTAGAAAAAAACTGAAAACAGTTTTTTACATAACAATGTACATATATATATATATATATATATATATATATATATATATATATATATATATATATATATATTTATATATATATATATATATATATATATATATATATATATATATATATATATATATATATATATATATATATATATATATATATATATATATATATATATATATATATATATATATATGTATATATGTGTATATGTGTATATATAAATTTATATATATATATTTTTGTCAAGTGATTTTCTACTACTGCTTGCTGAAAAATGTTTTTTTTTTGTTATCATATAAATTCTTAGCAGCAACAAATTGTTAACATATAGAATACTCTTTTATTGAAACATAATTTTATCAAATAACAACAACAACAACAACAACAACAACAACAACAACAACAACAACAACAACAACAACAACAACAACAATAATAACAATGATACCACAACATTAGAACTGCAAAAAAGTTAATTTTTTAAAATAATATCTACTGTTTTAAATTTCAAAGTATTTAAGCTAAAATATTTTTTTTAAATCTAATATTTATAGGTATAGTTAACACACTAACTCAACACATTGTTTAGCAGTTCAGAATTATCTAATTAAAGCCATAGTTCTAATAACCCAAACTTGAAAAAATATATTTGTGATCTGGTGAGCTCTAGAAGTATATTACTTTGGAACATAGCTATGTAAATCTATGAATACACACTTTGATTTAAAACAGTTAAAAAAGATTGAATATTTTTATCAATTGAACTTCAATCACTTAATCTATTGAAATTCAATCACTTAATCTATTGAATTTCAATCACTTAATCAAATAATGAACTTCAATCACTTAATCTATTGGTTTCAATCACTTAATCTAACAATTAACTTCAATCACTTAATCTATTGAATTTCAATCACTTAGTCAAATAATGAACTTCAATCACTTAATCAAATAATGAACTTCAATCACTTAATCTATTGAATTTCAATCACTTAATCAATTGAACTTCAATCACTTAATCAATTGAGTTCAAGTACTCATTTCCATTCAAAAAATATGCTGAATTAAATAAATAGTATATTTCATTAAAAAAAAAAATAACATTAAAAAAATGGCAATAAATAAAATAACCTTTTTATGCTTTCCTTTTAAATTTTCTATTTCTGTTTTTAAAATTTCATTATACTCAGATAAATCTGCAATTCGAGCCTAAAAAATTTTTTTTATTTAATCAAAAATTATTATAACTATCAAGCCATAGTTTTTAACTATCAAGTTAAAAACTATGGCTTGATAGTTAAAAACTTTTAGTTTTTAACTATCAAGCCATAGAGCAAAAAAAATAAATAAAATAAAATAAATGAAAAAACAACCTTTAACCTTGGTGCATCATTTACAGCCCTTTCAATTTCAAACTGAAGCTCCATGTTTTCCTTCACAAAAAAACTTGTAACCTTAGTCTTAAAAATTAAACGCACAATTTTCTGTTTTCAATACAAAGGATGCATACGTTTTAAAAAATGTTACCTTTCGCACTTCAATAATCTCCTTTTGAAAAACTTCTACTCGTTGAATGAGAGAAGAACTCTAGATTTTTAAGATTAAATTTTTGAACTATAATAATTAAAAAAAAATCAATTTTAAACTTATCACCTTAATAAGAAATATGAAAAAGAATTTACAACACCTGATCAAGCCTTTGTTCTAAATCTTGTAAAGATTTCTTTAGTTGATTGTTAATGAGATGCAGCTCCTGAATGAGACAAAATTTTATTTTACTTTAGTAATAGTTGAATCTCTTTGATTTTATTTTACTGTAGCAATAGTTCAATAATTGAGCTCTATATTATATATATATAAATAACGCTCTACTGATATTGTTTGAGATATGTGTATGCAACATATACATAAAATAAATGCATTTGTTGTAAGGTTGCATCTCTTTTTATCTTCTGCAAAGACTACAATAAATGTTGTTCAAGTGAGCTATTATCATTTGTTCAAACCAATCAAAACTCAATTCTCCATGTTCATTTCACAAAGTTGAATCTCTGTAACAATTCCCTCATGCTAAAAATTTTTTTTTTCATCTTTTGTTTTATTGTTAATTTACTTTTTGTTAACTCACAATTTATATAGTGGCAAACTTGCAGATGGCAAGTAAATGAGTTTTTTTTTTTAAATCATACTAAGTTACATGAACACTATGAATTCAAAAAGTTCATTAAAATAAGGTAGAGAAATATTAGATAGTCAAAAAAGATTCTCGAAAAAAAAAAAAATACTTTAACTTCTCTTTGATTGTCAAAGTTGACTTTCTTGTATAACTCATTATTCTAAATAAAAGAAAATATTATGTAGAAAAACTACAATAAAAATAAGAATGATAACAGTAAAAAAAAAGAAGTTTAAAATCTTACCTCATTCTCAAGCTGAAATATTTTTGTTTTAAGATCAGCAATAGTGTGCTCATGATGTAGATCAACTCCAATTGGTTGTAATTCATTTCGTGAAAAACTACAAAAATAAAAAATTAATTATCTTTTTTATTATATAGTGTGTGTATATATTGACATGTTAGTTGTAGAGAAATAGTTTTCCTATTTTGAAAAAGTAAGTCTGTATGTTGCACAAAATATAAATATTAAGACAGACAAAACATTTTGTAAAAATTATCTAAAAATAAATACAAAAAATTTCTAACAAATGTAATCACTTTTATCTACAAAAAATATAAGAACTAAAAGATCAAATAAATAAAGAAGGAAAAAATATTTAAATCCACCATGAAGTGTATAACATTTCTAAAAAAAGGCATTGTTTATTTAATAGACAAATTTTTTTGTCTGCGCAGTTACATTATTTTTTATTTTAACTTTTTATTAAAACTACCTCCAAACAGTTACCCAGGTATTTACCAACCTGAATGTACACGTGGTGCTTTTTATGCAAATGATGAGTCATTACTAGCTATTGTCCTGGTTTAGAATTTTATTTTTTTGGATAGCAACATTGAAATCTATTTTTGGATAGCAACATTGAAATCTGTTTTTGGATAGCAACATTAAAATCTGTTTTTGGATAGCAGCATTGAAATCTGTTTTTGGATAGCAGCATTGAAATCTGTTTTTGGATAGCAACATTGAAATCTGTTTTTGTATAGCAACATTGAAATCTATTTCAATAGCCTCTAAGATTTTTCTAGTATAATAACTGAAAGTGTTTTGAGATTATTACAATTAATTGTACATTTGCAATGTTGTGCATGTTCAACAATTTCAGCTATTCATGTTACTATCTTTTTTCTGTTTTCACCTAGATAAAAAGCGCAACATGTAGATTCAAGTTGGTAAATACCTGGGTAACTGTTTGGAGGTAGCTTAGATTTATTTTCGCACAACATGTTAAGTAGAGATCTTCCATAACAAAACACTGTTTTTATCCCGAAGTATTGCGGTATCATTTGTGTTAATTTGTTGACAGATGTTTGGTTGTGAAAAATTTTATGCAACAATATTACTATTTCTTATGAGAAGCCCCTAAAAATTTAAAAAATACAATTAATTTAGAAGTTTAAAGTATTGCTGAAAAAATAAACCTTGAAAACAGAATTAAATCAACTGCCCCTGCCCAAGTTTTTGTAACATTTAAAAGATCATAAGCCAAATTTTTGAAACAAACTTCCTTGTAGGTTATTGGTTTCCTCAAAAAGTAAGATTGGACATGTAAGCATAATTAAATTGGACAAAATTAATAATATTAGAAAAAAATATTTAAAAAATTTTTTAAAAATAACGGGTGTTCACTTGAAATCCGGACTGACTTTAAGTCAATATAAATCTGACATAATGTATTGCAATTGTACCATGTGATACATTATTTTAAAGCGTTTAAATTTAGCTTTAATATGCTACATTTATATTTAGATTGAATGATTATTCAAATTGAAAATGAAACCTAAACAAGACGACACTCAAAAACGTGTGTACAACTTCTATATTGAAAATAAAGAAAAAGGCAAAAAGTACACCGTAGATCATTTTGAAAAATAAAAAATTGCCAGATCGACCATCTATGATATAATTAAACGTGCTGATGACGATTCTGGATATCTTAGACGTCCTGGTTCAGGAAAAAAAGCTCTAAAAATGACCCAAAAAAAAGTACAAGCGTTAAAATCAATGTTTGATCACCATGATGGCGTTTCTTATAGGAAAGCAGGTAGAAAATTTAGAATATCAGCTTCTTATGCCCATAAAATTATTTAGACAAAATCAAAAATCAAGAAAAGAAAGAAGAAAAAGATTCCACATCGAACTGATGATCAAAAACTGATGGCAAAAACAAAGTGTGGTAGATTATATCGAGCTTTTACCAAATTTGATTGGATCATTGATGATGAATCTTATTTTACTCTTTCTCATTCATCAATCAACGGAAACGATAACTTCTACACAAGTGACATAAACCTCTGCCCATCTAGTGTCAAATATTATACAAAGCGAAAGTATGAACCCAAGCTCCTAGTCTGGGTAGCCTTTTCTGTAAAAGGAATGTCAAAAATTCTAATCCGTCAAAGTGGTCTTGCAATCAATCAAAAAATCTACTTAGAAGATTGTATTAAAAAGCGTCTTATTCCTTTTATTAAAGAGCATCATCAAGACAGTCAATTCGTATTCTGGCGACGTCTCATTATGCTAAATCTGTTCAAGCTTATTTAAATGGACAAAACGTCAGATTTGTACCAAAAGAAGATAACCCTGCAAATGTACCAGAAGCAAGACCTATTGAGGATTTTTGGTCAATAATAAAAGGTTTAGTTTACAAGAATAATTGGCAAGCAGAAAATTTAGAACAACTAAGGAAAAGGATAGTGTATTGCTTCAGCAAAGTTGATATCAATCTTGTACAAGAGTTTGCAAAGGGTATTTTATCAAGAATTGATTCTATAAGAAGAAAAAATTTAATTGAAAATAAATAAAGTATCATATTATAGAGAATTAAATGCTGATTTTAAATCATATTTTATTTTTTTAAGTTGATAAAAAATAAGGGAGTTATGACCCTTTAAAGTCAGTCCGGATTTCAAGTGAACACCCGTTATTTTAAATACAGTTAGAAATATTTTACTTGGAAAAAACATCAGTGTTTATACTGCTCTTAGAAAACCTGACAAAAAAGACATATGAAAAGCTGAATGCCAGAGATAGTTGGTATAAGCTGACAGCCAAAGATAGGTGGTATAACCTGACAGCCATATATGGTATAAGGAGAGAATTAAGTGATTTTTGGAATGAAATTAGAATCGGAATGGTCACATGGAAAATTGGAAGTAATTTTTGAAAATAGTCACAAAATTGGAAGCAAGTAATTTTCATTGATGAAAGTAACTTTGAAGTAATAAAAAAACAAAGTTCTTTTTTAAAAACATTGAGCCTGAAAAGTAAAGTAACTGCTTCGTTGTACAAAGATCGTGTGATGTTGGTGGAAGTGTTGGTACTTAGGCTGCTTTAACTTTAATTGAATAGGTGTGTGTAACATTTATAAAGGCTAAATCAACAAACGCGCATAAAAACGTTAGAGAGCTGCATAGTTTCATCAGTAAACATCTTGATTGATAAAATCAAATAGTTTAAACAAGATATAGTACTTTATATTAATTACCCTGGCCATTTCAACCACCAGATTTGAATCTAATAGAAACTATTTGGGCTTGGATAAACAAAGAATTACTCAAAGTCTAAATCAATTTAACAATCTTGCTAAATTGATTTTAAAAAAATATGTGTAATTTGCAAAAAAGCATGTGAGGAATTTTTAAATTAACAGTTTAGATATTATTTTTGCCACTCCAATTTAAATTTGTTGATTTGAAAAATTAGATCAATATCATATTTAATATCATTTTATGAAACAAAATATAATATTGCTGCATCTATTTTTTTTGAAAGCACTGTATATATGTACTGTATATAATTGTGTATAAGAACTGTATATAATAATATATAATAAAATAATAATTGATCAAAAATAATAATTCTTTTGTATTACTATTATTTTTAATTGAAAATTAAAAGAAAAAATAACTTGTTCTTTATTATGAAGAAATAAATAACTTATAAAATTAAAAAATATTTTCAAAAATTAATAAATTTTAAATAAAAAGCTTAAAGTAACCTTTTTAATCGAGATTGTAGATATGATTTTTCTTTTTCTATTCTGGTAACTGAATCTCTTAACATGTTGATTGTTTTTTCAGAGCGTGATGCTTCTTCTGTTCGGTCTTTTAATTTTAAATTTAGTGCTTCAATTTTTTTTTGCCATTTTTTACTTTCTTCCCAGCGTATAACTTGCTCTTTTGTCTAGGTTATAAGTCATGGGAGTATAAACAAAACAATTTTTTTAACTCTTTTAAAATTTTGACAATGATTGATGGAGCTATATTTGATAAAACATTAATAATTTGAAATCTTGATGAAACCTATATAACTTAAAAATTAGATAAATAGTAAATTGTTTTAGTTGTTTATCTGTTTCAATAGCAATGCCTAGGTTAAAGGCATATTTTGTACAAAGGTTCTCAAAATCAAACTGACCACTGGTAGCACTCTGCTTAATTTGTTTCTCTTTGCACTAACTTTGTTTGCCAAATTTGTGTTTCAAAGTTTTAGGGTTTAGCAAGGAGTAAGATTTATAATGACAGTTATAGAAATCATCTTATACAAACAAATTTTTTGATCTCTATCCCATCCCATTAGGTTTTACCTGTTCCACATATTTGTTTCACCAGCACCTTCACCAGGTTAGTCCCCATCTCATAGCAATCTGTTCCCAATAAGTTTGTTCCTATTCCAAAATCATCTACAACATTTTGTTAACTCTAATTTAAAAACTGATGAAGCTAGTCCAGAGTTAAAGTTTTTTTCATAATAATACTTACGCAGTTCTCTTCAAAAATGTTATAGTACTGCTTTAGCAAATTGTACTGGGGTTGGAATATTTGTTATGCAAGTGTCTTATTATTTAAAAAAATTAAAATTGCCATTAGAATCACATCAGGGATTCCTTTAGACTTAATACTGATACCACAGTATTACTAGATGCATTTTTACTACAGTATTCCTATAATTTTTTTCCTAATTCCAGAGACTGCCTCAGTAACTGTTGCATTATACATTATTATGTCACTATCTACTTATGAAGAAAAATTTAAAAAGCTGAAAGCTTCAGAACAAAAAATAATGAATAATTTTTTAAAACTGTTTCACCTCAACTTGGCTGCGGGAGCCGCAGTTGAGATGGTTACTCAAACTTTTTTAAACAGTTGTTACAATCATCTTTCAACCATATAGTTCCAAACTACAAACTTGGGTGAATAAAGCCACTCCACAAAAAAACAAGTTGACAAAGAAATTTATCAGCTAAATATAAATTATTAAGATATAATATTTTATTCAAATAAGATTTTTTTTACCTCCTTAACTGGTCTTTCATCCAGATCCGTCATATCTACTGGTTGAGATGATACTTGAGAAGCTTTGGGAGTAGGAAGTTCATTTAAAACAGGTTTATTTGTTACATGTTTCATCTAATAATTTGAAACAATAATTTTCTTTACAAAATTAAAAATTATCAATGAATAAAAGCTATAAATTGAACATATGATTGATAAGTCATATTTTGTTGGTATTGTCTATTATCATATTAAGTTTGATATTACAAGATAGTTATAAATATTGAAAACTAATAATCTTTTATAATAAAACCAAAATAAAGCCAAATTTGATTATTTGATTAGTAATATTTGATTAGTAATATTAAATTTGAACTTGTTAAAATTATTCAAAAAAAAATTTAAAAAGTTTAACAAAACCTAATAAAAATTAAATAGAAAAAAATTGAAAATAATATGATTAATACCTTTTCTTTTTCAAGCCTAGCTTTTTCATATTTCTCTAAAGCTTTTTTTTTTTCTTTTAATTCATTAGTCATTTCTTTGAGGGCATTGTCTTTTTTCTGTATATCCTTTAAATTTAAAAAGCATCTAATTAAAAACTGTGAACAGCTACACAAAAAAACGCTATTACCATAATAAATTAAAAAATTTTTGAGAAATCTTACTTTCTTCATTAAATCTACTTCGCAAATTTTCAATGCATCTTCCTCCTTTTTTTGTTTTAACTCAGTTTTAAGAATTTTTATTTTGTTCTGCAAATCTTCAATTTTTGAATTTAGTTGTGTAGTTTCCTTATCAATCAATTGTTGAACATTTATTTCTCCTTCTACCTTTTTAGCATATGCCTAAAATATGTTTTTATGTCAGAGTTGGCAACATAACAACAACATTAACAACTTAATCCCTATTGGGAATTAATTTTCAGTGAATCAAAAAAATAAATAAAAATTAGTTTTCAATTGATCAAATTATACACTCAAAGGTATTACATTAATATTTTTAAAAAATCATTTTTAAATTTAAAATTGCTATTAACACTAAATTACAATTCTATGTATTACTTTTAAATTTAACAGCTGGGACATTTCCTGGTGCTTACAAGGTGTGTGTTCCCTAACTGGCTGGTTCCAAAAAAAAGTTTTTGCTCATAGCGCACTTTAAAAAATGTCTTTAAAATATTTTTAATGTGGTTAGTAAACTTAGAGCATCATAAAAAAAAAGTTTTTACCTGAACATTCTCTTCAGCTGTAGTTACCATGTCTGCTCTAAGTTCAACAAGAACTTGGCTTAATGTCTATAAAATGATGAAGGTCAATTTAATTTTAATTTAAAAAGTAACAACAAAAAGTTAAAATATTAAAAGATAAAGTTTTTAAAAGTTAAAATCGTTTTAATTTGTTTCTGATTTAGCTTATAATGTTTCATCATTTTGACAACATTTTATTAAATGTATGCACTAATCTGTCTTCACTAGCCTTGATTTTTTAAATAATGTTCGGGTCTAACTAATTAGGAGTCTAAAATTATAAAAAAAAATCTTAAATATCTTAGTAGAATCAATATTAAAATCTTTTTAAAAAAGTGAGAAGTATGCTTATTTTAATAATGTTGTTTTGTAAACATTAGCATGGTGTGAAACTGTTTTGGAAACATTAGCATGGTATGAAACTGTTTTGGAAACACTAACATGACATGAAACTATTTTGGAAACATTAGCATGGTGTGAAACTGTTTTGGAAACATTAGCATGGTGTGAAGCTGATTTTAAAATAAGGATTTTTTTTTATCTAAATGAGTTTTTTTAGTTTACATCACATTTCTTAGTTCTCCTGGTTTAAGTTTATTTTAAGTTAAAATTAAATTTAAAATTGTAAATTTGCATATTTGTAAACTAATGCTATGATATATAAAAAAAAATACTTTAAGTTCTGTATCTTTTTTTGCAAGTTGATTTCTAAGACGTTCCACCAAACTTTTCATTTTCTTTGATGATTCTACCTCTACTTTTGCACCTTCAAGTTCTTCATTGAATACTTCTATCTACACCATTAATTTATTTAAAATATTTTTAAAGAGTACATTTTAAATAAACCTGTGTAAAAATACACACACAAGCATTTATGCGCACATACACACACATATAAACAAAAACACATTCATACACGCATATGTACAAAGACATTTGCATGCTTAGCCTAGTATAAAATGGCATTGATAACAATAGCTGAAATAACCATAGAAAGGGGATTTAAGAGTATATTGCCTGAAAGAAATGAGTATGAATAGACTGTTTCTAAATATGCAAAAGACTTATTATGCCGAAAAAAAGATTTTTTTTTTCTTTTCTTTTCTTTTGAAAAGTGTCTGGATTTAGGACTTTTATTTAAATCTAAAATTTAAAGAAATTTTTAAAAAGTTTAAAATTAAGCTGAAAATTTAGAATTAAAATTAAATTTGAGCTGAAAATTAAGTGTAAAACATTTTTTTACACACTAATTTTATCTCAATAAACAAGAGTAAAAAAACTAATAATCTTTGTTATCCCTTTAATCTTTAAATAACTATGAGTATAAAAAAAATGTTATTTATGACTCATTAATACTTTGTGAATTTAGGATTTTTACAACTTAAATATCTCAATCTTTATTGTTTTTTTTTTAATGTAAAAATCTTTAAAGTGACATTTACCATAAAATGATGAAACATGATGTTATATTTATAATAAAATGATGAAACATGATGTTATATTTACCATAAAATGATGTTATATTTACCCTAAAATGATGAAACATGATGTTATATTTACCATAAAATGATGAAATATGATGTTATATTTACCATAAAATGATGTTATATTTCCCATAAAATGATGAAACATGATGTTATATTTACCATAAAATGATGAAACATGATGTTATATTTACCATAAAATGATGTTATATTTACCATAAAATGACGGAAATGATGTGATATTTACCATAAAATGATGAAACATGATGTTATATTTATAAATAAAATTATGAAACATGATATTTATAAATAAATGCACAAGTGTAATAATAACAGATTGATTTTAAAAATGAGTAAACAGAAATTCAAAAATTGAAAATAAAATAAATGAAAGATTGAAATCTTAAAAAAAAACATGGTATCCATGGTAATAATTAGAGCATAAATATAAACTAAATGTAAAAAAATTATACTCGGGATCCCACTTTTTTATTTAAACAATTATGACATCTTTTTGAAAAACATTTAAAGCAGAACAACCCTGATTTACCGTCTAGCAATCGATTATGCTTTAATACAAGTCACTCATTTGTAAATGAAGAAAACAACAATATATAATTGTATTCCTTATCAATAAAAAATTCAATACTGCTACAATTAAGAATTAATTTCTTATGAGGAAAAAAAATAAAAAAATTAACAAAAAGCATATAGTATGAAGCTCATTAAAACAACTTCTACTATTGCAAACATAAACTGCGTTTTTTTGCAGTAAACCATGTTTTTAAATTTTACATAAACAACAGCTTAACATTTATTTTCCCTCATGAAACACGAGACAAACACTTTTGTTATTATACTAGGCATCGCTATAGTAACAAAAGGCAGCAGAGTTTCTTTGATATTGGAGTTGATAAAATCCAATGTAACAATTTCATTAAATTTCAAAATGCTCATTTCTTTCTTTTTGGGAACATATAATTGCTCACAATAGCATAGATACAAAAATAAAGCATTTCCCATAAACATCCACACAATAAAAATATAATTTTCACATACTAATGTTGACTTCTTCTGCACAATGAAATAAGTACAAAAAACAAATCCCTTTTTCCTATACACTGATTATATTATTTATGCTGGACAACTTATAAAAGAATTGGAAATGAATAGTATATATTAAAAATAATATAAATAATGTTTCGATAAACTTTCAATAAGTTTTAGAACACAAAATACATAATAAATTTGTAAAAAGGCTTTGCAGTAATATCAACTTCAAAGATTTTTTACTTATTGAACTTTTAAATCAAAAAAACATTTTAAATTTTTATTGTTTAATAGCATTTTTGCTTTTTGCATTTTGAACTGGAAAAATTTTAACTGTTTTTTTTTACTAAGATAAATATATAGATATTTTCCTCAGCATAAAAGAAAGATTATTTAGAAATTAAACTTCATTAGTTTTTATCATTTTATCTATTTTAACTAAAAATAAAAAAGTTTTAAAGAAAATTTAAAACAAAGAATGTCTTTTTTTAAATGATCAATAAAAATGAGTTTTTATGTTATAAAATATAACAACCAACAACAACACAACTCCAAACCTCCAAATCTTTTTCTCGAATAATGATCTTATTATCTTCAATCTCTTTTTTCAATCTTAATACCTCCTCAGCATATTCTTGGCTCTCTCTAAAATAATTAGAGAAAAGTAAAAAAAAATTATTATATACAAAAAATAGTTAAAGAAATATTTGTTTACTTTTCAGATTGTTCTTTTTGTTTCTTTAAACTTTCTTCACACTCTTCTTTTATCTGTTTTACTTGGAGTAGGCAATTACGATATCTTTCAGATGCAGTTCCTAATGCAACATCTTGTTCTTTAACTACTTCTTCAAGTTCGGAAAGACGAGCAAGCTAAATAGCAATTGCCAACATTATTTAAATTGTATCATGTATATTTATATAAATATATATATACATACACATATATGAATGCAGCATTTAATACGCGCTGATGATATTATACTTAAATAGATAGCTACAGGGGCTTTAGTACATAAATTTAGGCTTGTCGCTACATTGACTAAGTGCAGCAATTGTTTTTTTTTTTATTAATCTTTGTTTTTTGCTTCTTTTTCTGAAAAATTAAACCACACATTTAAAGAAACAAAGCATAGAAAACATCAGGAAACTGCATCCTTAGAGACATATTATATGCTACATATATATATATATATATATATATATATATATATATATATATATATATATATATATATATATATATATATATATATATATATATATATATATATATAAATATATATATATATATATATATATATATATATATATATATGTATGTATAACATATATATATATATATATATATATATATATATATATATATATATATATATATATATATATATATATATATATATATATATATATATATATATATATATATATATATATATATTTATATATGTATATATGTATATATATATATATATATATATATATAAACATATATATATAAACATATATATATATAATTATATATACCTGCTGTGTAGTAGCCACAATAGGCTGTGGCGCATTAATATAATCTTCGTGCATTTTCTTAATCTTTTTAATATGTTCATCAATTTCTAGTTGGAGACGTTCTTGCAAAACTTTCATTTCGTGGCGATGAGCTTCAGTTAAAGTGCGAATTTCCTTTGATACACAAAAAAAAATTTAATTTTTTAAATTTTGAAAAAAAAACATACACTGTAAACAAATACAAACCTCTCTTGATTGATTAAGCATGTTTTGATATTTAACAAGACTCTCATCTTTCTTTGCAAGCATTAACTGAGTTTAACAAACAAATTTTAAATACAAGTTAATATAAAAAACAAATTGTAAATAAAATTTTAATTAAAAAGCTAACTAATTTTAATTTTATTCATTTATTTAAAATGTCATAAACAAATAAATTTACTATCAACTAATCTAAAATATTAACTTATTTATCACAAAAAATACAGGTGCTAGAACCTTCAAGCTGTCAATGGTTGCTTGTGCTACTCTCACAGCAAGTTGAACTTCTCTATTTTCCATAGGATTTATATCTGCTTCAAAAAATTTGACTTCTCTATCATTTAGAGGTAAGCGAATCCGAAGCTCATTGATTATCTAAATTAACATATTAATTAACTTATTTCAGATAACTCACTGCATATTTATTTGTTGCCATTGTTAACCAATAAACCAAGTAAAAGCTATTTTAAAAAATTTCAATTAATTATTTAACTTCATCAAAAGGGACCACCATCAAGAAGAACCCCTTTGACAAATATTTGATATTATTTATTTAGATATTTGATTTATACTTTATACATTTATCTATTAAAAATTTAGTTTACAACTTTACATTATATTACCTTATCTTTTTGTAGCAAAACACTTTCAGCTTTACGGACCTTTTCTTCAGCAACTTGCAACTTCTAAATAAAGTATACAAAAATAAATGTGTTCAGCTGAAAATTTTTTGTTAACTCTTACTTTACAACTTCTGAATCTTAAAACTAAAAAACTGTAAATAATAAAAAGTAGTGACCTCAGTAAGTTTCACAATTTCAGCTTTTGTAACTATGATTGTCTTTATGTGCTCCTGTATTTTTCCAATGGCAATGTCCAATTGATTAGCTATTGGAAGTGAATCATTTGGAATGGATCCAGTAGCCTCTTCAAACTAAAAATACATTGATCTAAACAGATATATCTCAGTGGTATAAAATGATTTAAAAAATCAACATTAAAACAATAAAATTAAGAAAATAAGTATGAAAAAACTTTTTTTGCAGCATCCATAATTCCTTGTTGTTGTTTTTCCAACATGACAATTTTTCGCTCTAGCTCAACTTCATGCTGTTCCCATAACAACTGTCTGTCATCATACTCCTTTTTGAATAAAAACATACAAATTTGATATAAAAGTATATATTATCAAAAAACATGCTTTTTTAAAAAGAGCAATTTAGAAAATACCTTAGACTGTTTTACTGATAATTCTTCTAATAGTGCAATTGAGCTTTCATTTTTTGACCTTATTCGTTCCAAGTATATCACCTAAAACACTTGAAAACTAAATAAACTTTTTTTTCATTTAAAAAAAAATAAAAAAATAAAAAATAACCTTTTCCTGAAGTTGTATAATTTGATGTTTGAGCTTCATATCATCAAGTTTAATTTCACTCATCCTGTTGTGCCATTCCATGACCTAAAACCATAAAAACTGTAGTATAAATTCCATGACCTAAAACCATAAATGCTGTAGTATAAATTCCATGACCTAAAACCATAATAAATGTAGTATAAATTCCATGACCTAAAACCATAAAAACTGTAGTATAAATTCCATGACCTAAAACCTTAAAAACTGTAATATAAATACTTTATTGTGCATCAACGATCTGTAGTGTTGTAGAAAAAAAAACTTACTCTACAAACACTAACCTTTTTTGCACCTTGGCCATCTTTTAAAGTACTAATTAATTCTTCAAGACCCTCAAGTTTTAACTTTAGTTCTGAAGCTAAAATTTCAGCAGAGGAACGCTTGTTGTAAGCCTAAATAAAATATTACTAAAATTGTTATGTCTTTAGAGTGATCAAAGTAAGTTGTAAAAGTTAATAAATAACAAATGTTCAATTGATCCACATGCCATTCTATAACAATATTAATTTATGTGTGTAATGTAAAAAATATTAATTTGGATTTATGAGGTTTTTTATAGGCTGAAGATAAATTAAAATAGATTTCAAAAAAATTCCCACAACCCTTCTTATTAAGATCCATCCCTTTGATTAGATCTGAACATTCCCACACCTTTTCTTTTTTACACAACACCTCTTGTATTAAGCACTAGAGAGTAATAATTCAAAATTTTAGATGGTTTAAGTAATACATTTAAAAAATCTTTATTGATTGTTTGAAAATACAGATTATCACGTTAAGTTAATTTTAAAATGTTTCATAGGTATTATATATTTCTGTTAAACATCAAAATCTCAAAAAATGGTCAGCATATGTCATTTAATATCATAACACAACATAATTTGCAATTGTTTCATTTGATTATTTTTAATTCATATTTTGCAATATTACTTACCAGCTCCAGTTCTTTTTCTAACTCGATCTTTTTCTCCTGGATAGATCGCAGTGTCTCTGAAAATCTCTCTTGGTTTGCAATAGGCAATGCACCACTAAATTGTCTTCTAAGGTCTTGTACCATCTTTTTAAGAAACATGGTTTTAGACCTGGCTTCAGAGCGTATATGAAAAATTGTTTCATTTTGATCAGATAGTAAATTCTGGAGTTTGATAAGTTCAGTTTCTTTTGCACTAAGCTGTAAAAAAAAAAAAAAAAATAGAAATCAATTTTAGTGTAAAGTTTTAACAAAATTTTAAATAAACTTCATATAAAATATAACAATAATAGAAAACCTTGGTTGAAACCAACTGAAGTTTGTGAACAGCAGTCGCTTCACTCACTTGCAGTGCAATAATCTGATGATGAAGTTTTGCTACAAAATTTTGAAATAAATAAGTTAAACAAATTTCAAAAAACTCAAAATTAAAAAAAATGCAAAGCTCAAACTTTTTAGTTTTAGGGACAAACTGTTATTTTAGTACCAACCCCCTCTTTTCACCATGCCACTTTTAATTGAAATAAAAAAAATAGTTATTGTATAGATTTAATAAAATGCTTAATAAAACTTCTTGTGCTATTATATGTATTATATGATTATATATATATTATTATATGTATTATATGATTAAGTCTAAAATTATTGAATAATTTAACAAATATTAAACAATAGATAAGCAAGAGAGAATTAAATATACTGCAATATGTAAAGATTACACTGTTCATAGCAATTTTGAAAATAAATTTTCCCTAATATTCCCTGATTTTCTTCTGCTTTTAAGTATTTATTCCTTGAGTTTAGGTAGTGAAAAGTATATGTTTTTCCCTGATAATGTTGAAGGATATACTTTGGAAACAGGATACTTTTGCAACCAGAGCTTTGAGCAAGTCATTGTTTTACAAATCACAAGTCTTTGTCAAGTCATTCATCTTAAGTCAAGTCCCAATACAAGCAAAGCCAGTTTAATTTAATACTCAAATCAAGTCTCAAGTCCTTAACTCCTGATTCAATAAGCAAAAAAATCATAATGTATTTATAACTAAATCTTATTTCATATATAAAACATATTGATAACCTATTTTCAAATAATTGTATAGATTATATTTAAACTAAATATATGTTTATGATCCATTACATATACAAAAAATCAAACTTTGAAGGTTGTCAGATATCAAAACCTAATGATGACGCATTAAAATTTAAAAAAAAAAAAAAGATAAAAAGTAGGCTGCACAATCAAAAAATAATAATTTAGAAAAAAATGCTATTACATCTTTTTGCTCCTAAACCTTTTGCCTTAACATCCCACAAATGCCAAAACGCAATATGCTAAATGGATGTAAACAAATTTGGCTTTATATTGTGGCAGACGTTTACTAAATTTCCTTTTCTTAACAATTTTTGAGCTTGAATACGAGCTATGTACTTGGACTTGTCTAAGTTTAAGTCGAGGTACAAGTCTTGTCATTCATTGATGCCGATGACTTGTGACTCTGATGAAAAGTCACTTATGATTGGCATCAAAGTTGAAGTCCACTTACAAGTCTTTATTATGTCAATTATATCAACTCCAAATAAATTTGGTTATTGCAAAATAACATGTTGAATATAAAACTATTTATATATATTTATATATTCAGCGTAACTTATTTAGAAAATATTCCCTAAATTTTTCCTGATTTTGAGGACTTTCAGAAAAACCTCCCTAAGTTTTTCAGGATTTCACTGTTTTTTAAATTATCAAAAGATTCCCATGGTTTTCCAGATTTTATAACTAAAATATAATATGTAATTGTAATATACAAATGTAACTATATTGGTTGAATATGAAGAAATTCAGCACCTTTGGATTGTTAATTACTCAAAAATTAATTAACAAATATTTATAATTTTTTTATACTATTTGAATTATTTGCGTCAATAATTTTTTTTTAAGCTTTGATAGAAATCGAATATTTTTGCAAGTACTTAACATCATCTGCTGGATCCTGCTTTGAGTTATTTTTTTGGAGCTGTTATCAATTTTTTTTAAAAATCTTTTTTATCTGAAGCTTTAAAATTTCATGCTTTTCAAAAAGATTTTTTTTATAATTGACAAATAAATTTAAATTGCTGCTTAGGACAATGTGGAGGATTTGCTTTCTATATAGGTAGGTATAAGGCCATTTGCTTTCTATATAGGTAGGTATATTTGTATTTTTGTAGGTATTTTTGTATTTATTTTGTATGTATATTTGTATTATTTTGTAGGTATATTTGTATTTTTGTAGGTATTTTTGCTTTCTATATAGGTAGGTATATATTGCTTTCTATATAGGTAGGTATTTGCTTTCTATATAGGTAGGTATAAGCCCATTTTGTTCATACCATTGTAGAGACTTCTTGGAGCAAATAAAAGATTTTGCTCTATATTTATCTTTAAATTCCTTCTTTTTTCCACTTGCAGCATTTCTTTCAATAGATGGAGTCAGTTTATATTGCCACAAAATAAACCCAACTGAGGATCAAGAAACACTAGTCAATTTTGAAATGTCAACTAGAAATTCTGTTCTAGTTGACACTTCAACTAGAAAAACTTTTTTACAACTTAATATTTGTTTTATTTTAATCCGATAACAATGATAACCAATACTTATTACCTTTAGAATCAAACAACAACGCATTTGTTTATCTTTTATCTATTTAACAAAAAAAGTTAGTAAATAGATAAAAGTTTCAATTTGCATTATTACTTGAAAAATAAAAACATTCTAACTCTTATTAAGCATCATTGTGTTAAAAATGTTTTAGCATTAACTAAAAAATAATACAAATTTCTTAGCTTCCACAAAAATATGATTTAGGTATTAGGTATTTTAGTATATTATTTCATATTTAGGTATTTAATTTATATTAATAAATATGAGATAAGTAAATAAAGTTTTTCTTTTAAAACATCTAGTCAAAATAATTCACTTTAGCAATATAATTTATAGTTTAAGTATAGGCTATAGTGAAAGTGTTCTTTTATTTTTTTCTTCATTTTTCTATATGTTTAACTTCAATTTTTTTTTTTAATTGTTGTTATACACCTCTAGTAATCCTTTAGCTTTAAACCACAATCCTTAAAAAACAAGCTACACAAAGAAACATGAAACAGTACTTCCAGAGACATCGCAAGTTTCACAAATCATATCTGTTGCTTACAAAAAGGGTTTGTAAATTTACCGACTTTTTGATTAACCAGTAATTGGGTAAATAAAAATTGTAATACCGTTAAAACAGTAAATTACCAATAAACTTAATATATCAATAAATCAATACAATTTTTATAATACCATTTTTATTAAAAATCGTTTTTCAAAAAGTAGCTTCGTAGAAAGCTTAAACTTTCCAATGTCTTGTTTCCTAATCGAGATCTAATTTTAGTACAAATTAGTTCAGCTCCTAAAAATACTCTTTCAGGTTCAACACTTGTTTGACGAATGGTCATCAAATAGTCAAAAACTATTTAAATGTACTTCTTTTGTATATTTTCCTGTCGAAAGTACTCCAACTCTTTTTTTATAACTTCTTTTAGACCTTTTGTGTTACTTTCTTCTAAAACAGTTATTCTTTCATCCTTGTTTTTTAAGAAAAAGATGAAGTTTTTCCTTCATAGAAAAATCAGCATTTGGTTTAACAGTAATTGGTTTAACATTATTTAAATCCAAATCTGATTCATTTAGGTGTCTTTGAATACTCTCACCAGATTCTGCATTAATGTACAAAATATTTTTTATAATGTCAACAATAGTTTTGATAATTACGGCTTTACTGCTGATATTAAAAATGCCATAATTGTCTTTAACAGAAATAATATCATTAGGGTATGTAATAATGCGTAACACGTCTGAAAACATCATTCTTCTTTCTTTAATACAACTTATTAATTCATTTTTTAGTGCAATACTTAAAAAAGTGTTTTGGTTACTTAACTCGTCTAATATAAATTTTAATGTAAGATATAAATTACTGGCTACATATAAATTACCCTTTTCAGTGTAGAGTGTTTCAATGGCCAACCTAATAGATTGCAAACTTAATATTATATTTGAAAGTAATTTTACTTCATTTTCATCAAAATCAATGTCAACTTTTAAATTTATCAGACTTTTTATGAACAACATCTTTAAGTTTTAAAAATCTTTCCAGCATGCTTAATAAACTACTCCGTCTATTTTACGGTCTAAAATTAGGAAAAGTTCTTTTCCGACAGTTTCTTTAACCTATTTTTGCAGTAACTTATTATTTTTGGTTAGTGATTTTCTGAAAAGTTTTTCAGAAAATCACTAACAAAAAATTGCCAATTGCAGGGCATGAACGATACATAACTGATGGTGATATATAAATAAAAAGTGACTTTACCATTCTCTTGTTAACGGTAGCTCCATCTGACGTTATGCACACAATATTTGACAAAGCTCTATTAAACTGTTTAAGCTACTTTTCAATTAGTTCTGTGCATACCTCAGTAGGTGCAGATCCATGAATCCAAGTCAATCCAAAATTTTGAAAATTACCGTCATTTCCGTGATTTATTACATTAATATACAAACGGTTTTTATTTGATGTTCATTCATCACAAAAAGTAATAGCTTATGCCCATAAAATAAGAAAAGATGTTGTAAAGAAAATTTCACAGAATAAGCTCAATAAAAAAGCTTATAGCCTTACCACAGATGAATAGACATCAGTAGGTTCATCAGGAAGAATCCTGATGAACCTACTGATGATGTTGTTGAAGAAAAAAACTATATAAATGTATATATATATATATATATATATATATATATATATATATATATATATATATATATATATATATATATATATATATATATATATATATATATATATATATGTTTATAATATCCATTCACAGAATTTGAAAATAGTTTACAAATAAAATGCTTTGTCTATATGAATTAAACAAACTAACCATCATTCAAAAGTTTTCTGTTGTAATGTACTGCTTAAAAATGTCTAACATTGGTGAAATGAAATTTCACCAACAGTAGATTAAAAAAAAAAGATCAGTAATTCTCATAGGCCCTTTTTTAATCAGAGAATTGCATTGCTAACAGTTTTTAAAATTGATGTCCAACAACAAATGTCCAATCAATGGTTTGACAGTTATCAATCTCCAATCAAAAGTTTGACAGTTATCAATCTCCAATACTATCGTTCAATACTATCATCTTGTATAACTTGTTTATTTTCTTTTGTACTAGTTAAAATTGATGAAATATTAGTAATGTGTAATCACACAACTTCCATACTTTTGGTTTTTTCTTCCCAATCAGCTTTTGCATCATCCATGACTGCTATAACACCCACAATTGAATATTAAAAAT